AATTCATGACCTTTGGTGCCGGGCTGGTGAGTGTGCAGCACTGCCTGGGTCGTCGTCTTTGGGATCTTTGCTGCCCCCGTCAGCCTCAGCCTACGTACCCGCTGCTGTGTGCAGGTCGTGACGGCGGTGGCGCTCCGGTCTCTTGATCGCCTCTTGTACTCTCTCGATGAGACGTGAGTGCAGCGGGCTTCTCAGGCACCGATACTGTGCCTAGAGTTGAGCGCACCCAACCCCGCCACAAACAATCCTGAGCGTGCCGCCCCTGCCGCTGCTCTCCACCCGCAGGCGGGATGAGCGCGTCAAGGCAAAGATGCTGCAGTACCAGGCGCGGCTAGAGCAGCAGCGCATGCTGGCAGAGCGTGCGGCAGCATCCTCCTAGCAAGCCAGCTTGCCGCAAGGCGGTTGGCCGGCGCCGCTGAAGCGGCACGCTGCCGAGCCGCCGCCTGCGCTCTCTTTTTGAGCCATTCCGGCTGCTCCTCCCCAGCACTTGCCCATTCTCTGTGCAGCCGCCTTGTAACACTACTGCCACCACCACATTCAGAGTCAGTTCTCCGCAATGCAGCGGCAGCCAGCAGCGGGGGCGAGCCCCATGTGCTCTCGCCGCCATCAGGGCGCTGCCGCAGGGCGCCTGCCTCCGTGCGCCGTCAGCCGGGTCAGTAGGGGCTCATACCGGCCATCATGTCCGACCCAGGCGAGTCCGGAGGGCTGTCGGGGCGCACGGGGGTGAGGCCCGCGGGCCCGCGGGGCGCCACCCCGGCCGCCTTGAGCGTGCGTATCTCCCGCAGGCTGCTCTTGGCCGCCTCCTTGCTGCCCGCCCCAAAGTCGAGCAGGCGGGTGTAGTAGCGCTCCGCAGCCTCCAGGTCCCCGCCATCCTGCGCACCGGGATGAGGGCGGAGTGCAAGCAGCTCGCAGGTGGCTAGGGCAGAGCACACAGGGAAGGAGGCCAGCGCTGCCACCGAGGCTGCGCCCACCTCTTTGCACTCACCCCCCATCCACCCACCCACCCACCCCGGCACACAAGAGCACACACACCGCAACACCACACCACCACACCACCCTCTCACCACCACCACCACACCACACCCACCACACCCAC